CATTAAAAAAATCATCTAATTTGGACTAGAAAACTGACTTTAATTCCTTCTTCCACCTAAAAATAATAAAACATCACTTATCCGTATAATGCACTAGAGCCGCTATTTAGTTCGAAGTATATTGCCTTAGGCTTAATGTTTTTTTCTATTTTTTATGACATGTATGTGATGTGGATACTGTCTTAGATGGATTCTATTTCGCAATAGCTTTTTGAATTAAACTCTAAGTCAATAAGAGTAAAATTGTGCGTTACCGTATTAAATATTGAAGCTTACGTTGAATTTATAGATTATAAATAATCTTCAATCAAATTAGCATATTCTTTTAAAAGAAACTACGCATAAATATGCTAAGGAGGACGCATTAACATATACCTTAAAGTCATTTAAATATTTTATTGCTTGGTGTTATGATGAATATTTCGTGTTACTGAGTAGTTCTCGTTGTGACAGATCCGTTTCGCTCATTGGCGGTAATTAATCAATTGTCCCTGTATCAAATCTCAAATATGATTAGATTAACATTCTTAGTATATGCGTAATCTAAATACTTCCTTTGCTCTCAATAGCACACTACCATAGCATGATAATTATATATTTATCTTAGATACTATATTTTATGTATTCAGTTTTGAAAATTTTAACCTATACTGCGAGATATCTATATTTCATACGGGACGTAGTACAATCTTAACACATGGTTATGAGATAAAGTTAATGAAAAATTTTTGATTCGATCACATCCATAATTATAAGTCTATACGATTAATCAACTTCTGAAAATCCTTAAAATAAAATGGCGCGGCTAAGGCGAAAGTAAATTTATGAGAAAAATAATTGTATTCTAACTTCTATTGTTTATGAGAGTTAAGATTACATGTCGATATTTCTTTTAGACAGACAGTTATTCTTAGCCACAGCACACAATCTGCACTATACTGATTCCAGTATATTCAAACAAAATCTGAAGCACAACTTTCGGATATTGAACTTCTTCTATCTTTTAGTATTATATCTCTTTCTTCCCTATCTATTTGAATGTCTACTTCACGATTTAATCAATACTTACAAGAAAATATTTTAAATTGATCATTTGACGTATACATCGTATCAAAAGCTTAAGTAAGTCTTGATAAGACTTATAGTTCAAAGTGACCAAATCTGCCATTAATTATAGGGCTATTGAATTCATCTAACTTATTATCACCAGCTATAGCACAATGTCGTAGAATAGTCACAAGTCAAAGTCTATTGAAATAGGTATAAAATGACATCAGTTATATTGGTATGGAATAGCAACGCTGTTTTAGAATGTTATGAGATCCCAATGTGTTTACATGTTTTGTAATAATTGAAATTTTCAATATTGGTAGTTCTATCACTGGAATGAAGCTATCTCAATATTATTTTCATCAATCATAATTACAATAGGAATTGATCGCGCTGGTTATTGCGACTCATTACATTTCATCAATTTATGGTAGTTGTAAATTAATTTTTACATCATCTAAGCCAAAATACAATATAGGTATACCTTTAAATTTAATACATCAATACAATAACTCTTTCTATAAGCTTAGCTAATCTTTGGTATATCGCTGTCACGAACAAATTAGTAGCAGAAAGAATTATTACCATATGGTAGTAGCCACAAATAAGTCTCCAATACTATAATATTAAATTACTTACAGTTAATATTATTTGAATCGCGAGTACTTTGTCGATCTTAGTGCCCTCCTCTGTTAAAAATACAAGCAGAGATCGATAGCGAAATTTCTCTATTAAATGACATACCCTACGATATTAGTACTTTAGATTAACATTTAATATCTCGGTTTTAATGTATCATATCGGCTTATTTTCAGAGGCTACATCTTCAATTTGAAATGCAGCAATTTCTACAGTATTACTATTGTACGCCATAAAAATAATAATTGATTGCGAAATTTAAATGATCCATAAAGAGTAATGGAATATAGTACGACAATATAGTGTTTATAATGATCGCAACATACATAGATTGTCTATAGAAAACTGATGGGAATTTGTGAGAAAACATCATCTGTAAGAATATAATTTCACTTCATCAAGATAATAACAATACGTTATCGTAACTACAGTGTTGATGAATAATATTAAGAACTGCTAGCTGGGATTATGAAGTTGATATCATCTTTTTATTGCATCCGTCCTATTCCCTTACTTATGTTGATGCTCATAAATTAGAAACAAGTCTAAGGCCACAAACGCTACATCGATAGAAATTATTGTTAAGAAAATTTCGTGATAGTATTGTACTATTCTAAATACTGTTGACCCGAGATATAAATGCACGTTATCTACCATATTAGCAGACCTTCGTCCTTTGTTGCGTAAATCATTTTTAGTTTTTTTTTAAATCAATGTCTTATTTGATGAACAATTTTATATTGCTTTATTTTGGATATGAATCATAAGCATTTTTTTAAAATAATCGAAACTATATTGCTACTAATCGAAATTTGATCAAAATGGAATATACTGTATTAATTATTTACGTGAACCACTTTATTTACTAACAATATGTTATTGTTCTCCATGACTGCTTTTCATCTAGCTCTTGATTTTGGCGGCATTGGCTGGAAGATTATGTGAGTATTGCTGTATTATATCGTCAGTCTATAGTATATTCATAATTATTACATAAACATAGAATTTACCATTTTAAATTTATATAGGCACTATGATATTGAATAATCGTTCTAATTAATATTCAATCAGAAAAACAATTTAACACTACAAGAAAGAACTCTATATAATGCAACCATTTGAATTATCTAATATAAAATAAGTGCTGTATAGTAAGATATACAGCTGTACAAAATAGATTCTCCCGTAACTTTAGTTTTGTGTTTTTCAATTAAGAAAATAGGGTAAACATATAAAAGAGTATTGATTGCGTCCTATCCATTTTCTTCAATTAATATTAATGTCATAGTTCGCTGCATTACTAACGAATTATAATTTATAATCGCTATAATTTGAGCTTGATTAATATATTGAGTAGAATGAAAATTTGAAATATTCGTATCTGCCTGTTTATATCATACGGCGTAGACTTCTTTTAATACAGTGCTTAGTTTTACTGAATTTTCAACATGCGTTAGGATTTCTATTGCAGTGGTTTGTCTTTCCAAAGCACAGTTGTTTAAATTCAAATAAGTAAAACTATAAAAAGTTAAAATTACAAAACATACTAATGCTATTATAGCTGAAGACGATTGCGTTAATTTTTCCACACTTTTTTAGTATCTGCCGGTCTTGCCTTAACCTTTATATTTTGATCCTACAAAATTTACATAGAAACAAATTACAAAAATAATTTATACCTTACTTCTGATTTTTAGTATTGTAGGTAGATATTTAAACTATTACCATACGTTATTGTCCCTAATAATTAGTATTGCTCTTGTATTACAGACTAGATTATAATTATGCCAATCCTTATATGATTGACGTCAAACAACTGCAATTTATCATATTACTGTTACATTTCAGATAGGGAGCCTAACTATTAGGTTAATTGTAAAGGAAATGGTTTCATTTATACTATACTGCGTGTAATTTAAATTAAGAGTAGATAGTATTACTGTTACTTGTTATTTATACTAATCAAAGGCGTTCAATCCGTTGCAAGTTTTACATATTAAAAAATCTAAAATTAGAAAATTACTTTCTTATCCGAGTATTCAAATACTTTAATTAAGTGTTGAATAACATGTAAACGACATGCGATTATTACTCAAGTAGATCTGCATGCTTCCTTTCTTATTAAGATTTTTACTAAATAACAATGACATTGTACTTTATCACGCACTAGTAGATACCACTATATCCTATTTTAAGTTCATTTCCGTCTATATAATCCTGCCTGTAGTAAAGCAATCATGTCAAAATTTTCCCTGTAAAATAAGTTTTGTGCAGTATAGTTAAATCATAGAAAGTAGTTCATAAATTACCGTTCAACAAGAATAATTCATAAAGGAAATTATTTTGGGTGCACCATAGTTACTTCTACTTTTTTACAGATAATAGGTATTTTACATTCTAATCTGCTAAAGTAATCTCGAATTATAATAGTTCAATTTACAATAATACACCAATCAAATCTTTTCATACATATACATTACTTTTTATTGCGAAATAGAAGAATCTTATCTCGGCTATGCATACTCTTACTTAACAGAAATAATTTTATTCTAATAAAATTATTTTGATAAATAGTCTCTTTAACAAGTCTGATAAATCAGTTCTATTTATATTTGATCGTTACTATATCCATAATAAAATACATCATCAGACTCTACCAAATATCATAGCATTTATCACATTGTAAAGTAGTGGAACGTATTGCTAGCTCTAAAGGTTACTACTGAGAAATATAACTTTATTTTGATAGAAATTAATGTTATGCTTGCCATAGCTATATCAGTATGCATTATTGATTATCGTATATCCTATTTCGTATCTCTTAAAGGAATTTCATTTATTAAAATGTGCAATGCGACTACACTTTTCCTACTCTACAATTTTTTGTCTTATTGTGCAATAATAAGAGCTGAGTTAGTCTATAAATACTATTATTGAAGAGAAGAAGTTTATAATACATCGAACAAAAACTATTATTAAGACATAAATTTTGTAATAAACATTATTACCACACTTTCCTACACTACAATTTTTTGCCACGTTGTAATTTAGTTCCATTATGTTAACTATATCAATTGCGAGTAAATCTGGCTACAGAACATTTTGTGAACTCTAAGTTTCACTGCTCTTAAAACTCAGCTAGCATCATGTATATAAAAATGCGTTCATCAGTTACATAGCTGGACAATATAAATTGTAGCCCATTAAAATCAATCTTTGCAAATTATTTTCTTTATTTAAATCTGTTTAATTATTTTATTGTAAGCGTCTCAACTGAAGATGATTCATTTACAGCTGGCATAAAAACTAATATGATACTCCGTTGCCACTTTATAGCTAGTTCACAAATCCATACTTGCCCTGATAATTGGCTTATGCACCAAGATAATCTTAGAAACGATTGCTTTAAGCTATTTAATGGCAGCCATCTAGAATGGAATGAAGCCAACAATTCTTGTATTAGTGAGAATGGAACATTATTACTGCTCTTGGACTCAAGCATGGCCCAAATAGTACAACGGCTATATAAAAATTATGGTTCCTTAGCTTGGATCGGTATGCAAGCCACACAAGGCGACTCTGGAAAGTACTACGAATATAAATGGATCAACGGACAAAAATTTGACCTAGCTAGTCCAGGATGGAGTCGATTACCTGAATTAGCAAAAGGGGCTCAAAAATGCGTCTCGCTTTTCCTCTCTCATTGGCAATTACTGACTGAGAGTTGCGATAGTAAGCTGAATTATCTATGCCACAGAGGTAAATAGGCTACAGACTGATTGTAATATAATATTGTGATAGAATATAACTATAACCGTAGGAATCACAACTCAGTAACTCAGAGCAAGGCAATCGATTTTTAAAAAACGCTCGATATTCAGCTACTTACAAGTATGTTAAGTACAAAAATTAATTCTATCACCAAATAGTATTTAAAAGTTATTTCTAAGCTTTAGATAGTAACATCCATAACGTATACTACTAGAATTCCCTATTAAATCATCAGTTTACTCTTACCTCCTGGAGTACGCGCAAAGCTATGATTTTAAACTTAGCTATGGACTAGAAGTGGTGTCCGTATGCTATTACCGAGTTGCAATAAGAAAGTCAATCAAGATTTCAGTACACGAAAGTATTTCCTAATTTCTAGTATAAAAATAGGATTAAAAAGGAATAGTTCCAAATTACTTTTCTTGCTTTAATGTGCTATTGATGAAAGTTAGTGAAGCTTTACGAAGCAACGACGCTAAAAGGTGAAATTATTCAGTTACTAGAGAAAGTAAATCAATTTCTTATCTTTAAATCTAAGACCGTTCTTTAAACTTATCGGTTCACTTGAGTTGAAAGTCCTAGATCAAATCTTATTATACTCCTAATGAATACCAGTGTGCATACAGATTAATGATTCTAAAAAAATTTACGGTACTTGAATATCAACGACCATTGATTTTAGTTGCTGTATTAGTGTAGTGTTAGTTGTATTTTATGGCTGTAGAATAACCATAATTATGATCGCATTGGTTTATAACATATTAACCTTTTAGCGTTAAATTATTACTATACTTGAATGAACAACAGTCTTTATCCAAAATGTTGTCGTAGGTTTTAAATGATGATAGCACTAAATGTCAAGAAAAAAAAAAAATTTTTTCTATACCGGAATGTAAAATTTTAAAATCCCTTGTAATAGCTATTTATGTTACACCTTTTACCTTTAGATTAAATTATATACATATTATTGGTGTTACTTATGCAAATTAGCTATTTCTTACATCAGAATTGACTTTAAAAGACGATAATGTTTAGTATAACTAAAGACGGTGTAAATGACATGATCGAAAATTATATATGTTAAAAAAGCAACTCTGCCATATTCACTCTCATATCTTGTTTGACATTTGACTATTAATTATTAGCATTGGTTATTGCTATTAGTTCTAAGCTTCTAGAAAAGCTAACGTAGGTGAAAGTCTTTCTTTAGCCTAAACTAGCAGACAAATTAAATTCTGTTTCATTCAAGTATAGCTAGATTAATTATGTAAACATCAGAAGATAAATCACAAATAACCTAAAAATAGGTTTTACTTTAATCTCTATTACCTGTTAGAAACACGAACGAGAATATAAATTGACCAATAGTCATGCGCCACGTAAATTATCAAATGGAAAGCTCACTTCTAGTTATTCTATAAATTTTCTCTAGCATAAAATTTAACTCACTGCGAGATGTAATAATTAAATTTCAGGATAGAATTATTTAGGTAGTATAAATTGAAAATTCTTTAACCCCTGCCTAAATTCTTTAGAGTAACTTTTTACCTGATTGGTATTGATTTCATGTAGCCTCCATTACGACATTGCCTTATGCAACGTCAACGCAAGGACCTAATACTGCAGCAATAACAACGGATTCTACTGAAGTCAACGGAGCAGCTGGACTATCTTTATATACTTTATTATCGATAGGTCTAGCATTATTTACAATGGGTCTTCTGGGAATACATTGATCTTTATTTACTGTAATCTAGTGTGAAGAATTGGAAATGATATAATATGCAGAAAGAAAACAACTGATGACGTTCTTGCAATGGTATTATAGACGAAAGCAACGATATTTAATGAGAAAGATCTATTACGCTATAAACACTTGTAATTTTGGGGATAAAAATGGTAATTAGCATATAGGCTATAAATATATAATGAAGTAAAGTATACGGTATATAAAACGAGTAAAATTAATCTAATTCAAAGTAGTGCAGCTATATTCTTTTTAGCATCGACGTAGATAATAGATTTTCTTCTCTAACTACAGACTATATATGTATACTATAAATATCAATTTATTTTAAAAATAAATTTCCTGGAAAACGAAGTTTAGTCAATCAAGTAATTTGAATAGAACTTTCGTACTATGAAGATAACAAAGTAACATACTATCAAATCCAGAATTAAAATACTAACGTACTAAGTAAAATTATAATTCACTGTGATAGTCACTGACATGATTGTAACCCAAATAAGCTTGGAAAGGAAATTAACTCTTAGGAGATTTTTCTTTTCATATTAGTGTGAGTAATAGTAATGAAAATAATTATCCTAATGCAATACATAAACTATACACCGATAATAAATTTTAAAGGAATAAAGAATAAAATGATCGAAGTTGCAGCCTTACTATCACATCGTAGTATCTCTTTTATTGTGCTGAAAAGCAATGCTATAGAGCAAGATTTTGTAACGCTGCATTAATGGACCTAATAGCTTACTAAGCGATATCCAAACCTTTAAAGTCTATTTGCAGCACAATAGTAAAGATTTATATAGAAATGGCAATACTCGAAGCAATCGAAGAAGGTGTGACTACAGTATACCGTTTACATTGCCTGTACTGCGTTCCATAATTACTTTTTAACGTTATAGCCATGCAAGAGGGTGTCAATTAAACTTGATCTAAAGTTACCTCGTTGTCTAATTTTTATCGTGAAATACAAAATGGGCTAGTAATAACTAAAATTTCTTCTAAAATTTTACTTCATTGCATAAAATTGGCTTGTCCAACAGTACCAAGTGATAAATGTATATTTAGGTCTTATTTTAATATGTAATACCCTTACGGAAAGACGGGGTAATGGATTTTATCAAACCCATTAATATTTGATTTTTCCTAGAAGTACAAGCACGGAAATTTACATTAACTAGCCCAAAATAAATCCATTGTTTACGCTATCTCCATAATGCTATAATAGGACGAAATAGAAATTAAAGTGTTAAAGGCCGAATTATGAAATGCAATGAAACATTCTCCGCCAGTTCATATGGATGACTACATTTCCTATTCTTATTAATTGCAATCTTTAAAAATAACTATTTAGTGAGGTTACGGCATTTATTTAATCAACTGGTAAATTTAAGAGAGAAAATTTATACAATGATGTCATCGTTCGCAGGTACCTGTCCAAACAATATATGGACGGAAAACAAAAATATTATAATTCCGCACCGATCGATTGATTTCCCCACCATTCATCACTGTTGTTTAATTCCAGCAGTATAGCCCATGACTACTATAAATATATTAAACTTAAATATAGAAGTTTTTTATTCTGTTAATCATACAGGACTGCCATGAATTCTCTAAAATTAGCTAATTCATATAACTTCAAAGTGGACCACTAAGACGATAGGTAAATATTTTCTTTTAACAAATTAAGAAAATTGCAGTCATGGTTAGTAATGATTAATTGGATTATTCACAAGTTAAAGTGAATTAGTTGATCGCAAAGTAGACAAGGATTAGTATACGTATAAAAATAGATAAATATATTTACATACAACCATTTTCGAATAGCAATTAGTGATCAAACAGATACTGCAACTCTAAAATGGTGTTGATAGAAGACTACGTAATACTTGTGCTGTTCTACTACTAGCATATCGTCAGCCTTCTTAAATTCGACATGACAGTTTTTCCACTAATTGTATCATTTTAATATTTAACACATATACGACAATCTCTCCGAGAAAGAATTTAGTAACAGAATGTTTTCTAACTGATTACTAGAAATAGATGATGAATTTAATTGCTAAGTAGATTGCTCAAAATATTCTTAGAGTCAAAGCATATCTCATAATTGTTCAATAATATACAAAATGATTGATTGCAACTTTACGCTACAAGATAAAATTAGTTTGTATATAAAATAAGACAGTCTTCGTTTTCGATATGTCAATTTAATTGGAAATAGTACAGAAATAGGATCATTTACATGTGACTTTCGAATTAACCTACTAAATAAATTAAATTATCTATAGTAGTTATAGTTTACCTATTGTTGCTTCGTTTATTGCTGCTCCTTTCCGCAGCAGCCATTGACTGATATCAGTAGCAAATATTCAGTTTGATTAAGTTTAGATTTATCGAAATTCCTTACCTTAAATTCCCTGGAACTATGAATCATTTCGGCCACATAGGCTACTATGTTGCATACTATCAATTAATTGATTAGTATAGAGTAGTGGAGAGGCAAAATTGTATTACGGTCAAATTCCGACCACTAATTCCTATCCATGATATGGAGGCAGGCTAACGAAATTGTTTATTTATTTTTCCTGCCACGCACACATTTTTATAGTAAATTTAATATTTACATTATTGATATTACTTTGACTAAAGGTAATTAAACATCTTGAAGGCAGAATTCGTATGACAAAAATTGGGAAAAACTAATCAAAAAATGGAAATATATCCCCTAGTTTGCACTACTGAAATCTATAAGTACCGCACTCACTTTGAACTTCATTATTCACAAGCTATTCGATCTTTAAGATTTGGACTTGATTTAGAAAATCCTACAGCAACTTCCGTTTAAGAAGATGGTAAGGTGTAATCTATTAGTTAATTGTATAAGGTTATTCCATGTCCTAGTTTACTCTATAGATTTCCTCTAGTCCTATTTAATTATCGATTTTCGTAGATAACTAATACGCAGCATATTCATTAGCGAAAATAGGGTTATTGTTCGCTGTAACTCTCTGACGCATAAATAATAGTAATTGGAAGCAGAAATTATTTGCATTAACAGTCAAAGATTGCTCTTTCTTTTATTCAATTTACAGGTTGATTATATTAATTAATTATTAATGTTTTACAAAATATATTATTTTGATCCTAAAATTTAGATTGACCAAACTTCAACCAGTGCATTCTTATTCATCTATGTTACCATTGCTATTATGGTTACAGTGCCAATAGCCAGCGGTCGGCCATCACAGCAACCCCTTCAAAAAAACAGCCTTGGAGATTCTGACAATAAATTCATTGCAGAAAATCACCGGTCCAAAATCGCTGCAGAAGAGCACATCCGACACAAGAGAGAAGCACAGACAAAAAGTAACTGCAGTCCAAGAACTGTAACCAAGATCGTGCCACCTCCAATCCTAGAGGTTAATCAGTTAGAACTTACACCTGGTAAGCCAGAGACTAGAACTTATGAAACCTGTGACTTTCGAGGATGCTCAAAAGAAGAAATTAAAAATTTGACCATCAGTAGCCCGAGGACCACAGTCGAATTTAAATACCAAGTCTCCTGGATTGCAGACGAATTTAAGGAGAAGTTTGCAGAGCCTAGCAGCGCATATGAGATAGCCTTCTTTATCACTACTTCTCCATGCCCATCAAGTAGTGAAATGGAGGATACTAACTTAGCATAAATATTAAAAAAGATGTGCTAGCGGTTTATGTCTAATTTTACACGATTATCTGCTATTATTTAAGTTTATGACCATCAGTAGTGGTTATACAAAGAAAGTAATTAAGTGAAGTAATTGTATCAAATTATTAAAATTTTTATCGACGTTTAAATAATTGACTACGTTCTCTAGTATAATAATCCTTTCATATGCGAATTCTATATTCAAAGCGATACGTTTAAAGAAAAATTATTTGTTTTATCATTTTATCGAATAGTTTATCGATTAAAGTATTTTAATAATATATTAATGAATCTACTTGGTTTCCATTGTGGTTAGGGTACTTTAAATGGAAATAAATGATATTGAGATAGAAGGTAAAATAGATATTCAGTTAGAATATTATATACTAAAATAATTTAATATTTCATTTATATCCGACTGTATCAGAATTTAAGTAGTATTTATAAGTAAAAGCGAAGATGAAATTTTTTATCTGATTCTATTCTTTTCACGTAGCCTATGTTATTTAAGGCTTTAAGTAATGAAGCAAGAAGCAAAATTTTAAACTTAATATCGCAGCCGACATTTTTATCTCACGATGTTGCTATGCCGAGGCGATAAAATAGAATAATTACTAATATTTAAACGATTAATTTGCGGTTTTGAATTGATATTCAAAAATGATTTCTGTTCAATTAAAATTTTAAAATGCGGGAACGTATTATCAATAAAATAAAATTACTTTAAAAATTTGAGGTCATTTCTACATTTTATACAGTATGTTGTCACTTTGCAATCAAATTCAGTATTAAGATGTCATAATTAGTACTGTATAATTAGGAAGAAATAATATTTCGCAAAAGAGACTTTCCCTCAATTAGAGCGATAAAAAAATTAAGAAAAAAATCCATTCTTTTTAATCTTGAGTATAGCGCAAGTAGGATTGATAAGTAATTTTTGCAAGAAATACTCATAATTAATCACTAATCTGAACTCATTCAGTTCGAAGTAGCAAAAATGGACTATCTCTTCATTTCAATTCTCTGTCTTAACCTCCTAACTCAAATTGGTACATTCGCATACGGTCTTCAAAGACTTTAAGCGGTACTAAGTTCATAGTCATTTACGCAAATTAAAAACATCATAACTCACGTTATATTAGTTAAATATCACATAATAAATGATTGGTTAAATATCATAGAGGGGTATAATCCTTAATTCGATGAACATTTAGCTTCAAATTTTTACCGGAATAAATTAAATCTAACTGTATTTTCATTAACTTGGAAAATATAGCGGCAAGAGTGTAGATGATAACTCATAATTTAATTTGAAAATATCTTTACTTCTTTGTCATGACCGAGGTTGTGCCACAAGTAGATATTATAAAATGGGGATACTATACCTTTACTGATCCAGTAAAAATACCTCGCCACATAATATTAAGTAGAATCGCTCCTCAAACATTAGTCTATGTACTGATATAATTGGTACTGCTCTACCTTTCAACCTACAAACAATTCGTGATCAATGTGTATACTATGCTAATGTACCGTTGGATTTCTTTTTGCTCTATTTACACAGTTTATTACTGTACTATTCATCCAATCGGATACTTCACTTTTTATTCATGAACAATCCTTGTTATATACTTCAATAACTTAATTAATTAATAAGTTTTATGCTTTTAGTTCGTTATCGTCACATACTTGCATCGGTATTGATCAATTAAACGAGTTTTTATTTTTAAGTACATTATGATAGAGTAATCACATGGCTTAGTGTTTGAATCATAAATATATTGTAGTAATGATGAAACGAGCATAAAATTTGCGGTCAGGTATAAAGGTATTCATTAGTGGAGGTGGACAAATATTGTGTACGTAAATCACCTATATTCCTAAAACTTAGCTAATATTTCAAATACACTTACACGGATAAAAGTATAATAATTAAGGTTGTTATTAGAGCCATAAGTAATGTCTTATTCTATATAGCATTTAAAACAACGAAATCTGATCGAATTAAAACGTTAGTTGAATGAAGAGAAAAATTATAGTAGCTGAGTAGAAGAACTTTGTATTGAAATTAGAACTCTAGAGCCTAAAGTTTTGATGCTATCCGGATTATTAGGCGTTTCAAGGTAGATCAATTAGGAATAAAAAATCGTAATACCAGACAACTAAATCTTGTCGTTTATTGAAATTAAAATGTACTAATTTTAGCTACTCGACTTACAATATTGCATAAAATCTTATTATATATGAAAAAGACTTGATCGTATCTGAAGTAAAAATGATTAACAAGTAGGCGAATAACGATACATTAGGTAAAGGCATTAGACCAGGGGAAAAAATTTAGCTTATAGATTTCAAAATGTCTATTAACAAAGTCTCCGTAAAATATGTGACAATTTATTATGCGATATAGGAACTGAAGGCTTGATTAGTTTTTTTGTTTAGCTCGTAACACTAATGTAATCTACTATAACAATGATCTGAAATATCTGAAGTAATTTAACATAACCATAAATTCATTTAATTTTTCAATAAGGCTTGGAGTAAATAAAGCTTTTATTTAGCATCAGTGTTAAATTTCCATTGTCTATGATAGTATCTCCATCATGATTTATAAAACTTTAGCCACAAGTCACCAGCTTTCTAATGTCCGTAGGATGACATGCTACGAAATGATTTGGAATATAAACATTGCCAGATTGTATGGGTATTTATATTTATGTGAAAAATGATAGAAATATTCATATACTATAAATCTAATCTAGAACGAATCCTCTTTAGTAAAAGTATTGGGTTAGTCTTGCAATAATTTTAGGCAAATATTTTAAATTTACAGTATTTATAAGAGTTGGTACGGTAGCTATCTCCCTCTCTCTAAACACAAAGAAATTATCGTAAAGTTTCTTTAAATTAAGTAACGTGAATAAGGTAATCACTATATACCATCTTAGATCATGTGTGAAAGCTCTGCCGGTAGGAACGAATTCACGCTAGTTCTAAATTTCAATAAAGTATCAACGATCTAAGGCTTTACAGGCTTAAAATTATTCCGGTGCATCTATCTATTATCGGTCCGTCATTCTAAATTCATAATCGATATTGTAATACTATCACATAAAATCATATAGGTCACTATTACTTCAATTTCAGGTCATAATACCTACTAATTGTTACCAATGATTTCCTTGATAGTTAAAATGTCTGTACCTAGCTATCTGTATTAAAAATTACAGTAGAGGTTGAAGGCAAACTAGGCTTGCTATTAGTAATATATTAAGAACGTTACATCATAACAGAGATTATATATAGTCTGGCTGCATCCGGTATCAATCTACGCACTGTAAAGTTGAAATTTTCAATTCATATGATCTTGATTTTAGGAAATCGTGGACGATTTAATATTACAGTATATCACCATCATCCAAGATTGGAAGCTATAAGCTAATTTAATTAAGCTCTAGCGAAAATATTTTTAGCCTTTTCATTTCTAATGACATAAGATTGATATCTTGATAAAAATCATAGACGGCTTAGGACAATACTATAAAATCAATGGTAATACTGGCCATCAATAGAAGCTATGGAACCTAAAAAATCAAAAGCCATATATGCAGTGGAAATCTTATAGAATTTTTGTAATAAACTATAAAGTCATCGGTGTCTTCATGCTATCTTATCACTATTTAATAATAAAAGCTAAAACCGATTTTACTAGACTATAATTAAATATCATGCAGTTACAATTGCTATCACATGGAATTGACTAATTTATCGAAGTATTCTAGATAGTATAACGGTCTATCATTTACATCACAAAATACAAGATTTGGATAGATTTAAGCAAAGGCTTAATGTACGCGCTTAATAATTGAAGCTATGATATGGAAAGATGGATTATATGCCAAAGGCCATAGATTTTGAAACTAGATCATAGATATTGATTGATAGAAGTTGTTGCTTAATCCTTCGAGACTATTATCATGTATGCTTTTAAATTTCTATTGCAAGATACGCCATTAATACTTTAAAAAATACTATAACTGTATCTTTGATTGGACTTAAGAAGCAGAACATTTTTAAAATAATGACTCTAGAACATTAGTGATCTCAATTGTTCAGAACTGTCTCTTAAAACAGCTCCTATTACTATTCGAAGTTGATAAAATGTATACACGCATAAGGCATCCCAATCAGAGGAATGCTGGCAAAATATCTGCTTTTCTGTAATGCTTTATCTATCCTTGTCTATCGGAAAACGACCACAAATTCCTATTATACAAGTATATACTGTACTAACAAAGTAATGGATAGATTCTAGAACAGTGGATCGATATAGCATATCTTACATTGTCATTCTATGATGTAGTTAAGAATTGAAACGGCAATTAAGAAGATCGATTTATTCATATCACAAATACCGGATATAAGGATAAAAAAAATCGCATATCTACACGCTAAAGGTAATAAATGCTCATTTTTACCATTTCAACCTAACTATTGTAATTGTCCTAACATAAATTATATCACATCAAAATCAGTAAATAGCTAAGCAACTGTAGGAATCTATGGAGTAATGACGTTATGACTCAGGTATTACTTTAGCATAAAACTGGTTTATACTTACACAAGGTCTTTCAACAGAAAGCTAAATGTTGCTTACAGAATTTAAAATTAACAAATAAACGTAAAAATCGATACGCCATAATATTATAATCTTGTATAATATCATGATTTCGCTGCAATTGCATCCTAAAGCCTTTTATTGCAAAGGTCTGAATAGAACGATGCTTATGTACGGCTGAGTATGAAATGCATATCAGAGTTGCATCTATTCAACTAAATGTAGTATGTTACATAACTAATCTAACCATAAAATGTTGTAGCAAGTTGTTTAGTATCTAGAGTACCCTACATTATAATTATTGGTAAACTGCGCGATTAATAATAATATATCGTAAATGCCATATTCGCTATAGATCGAAGAATCCTTTATCGCACTTAAAATTTTACTTATCTTAACAAGTACAGTAAATCGAAAAGCATATGTATTTCATGCAGTCTAGCTTTCAATGGTTCTGGTAGCTTTCGGCTATTCCGCAGCTAAATTATACGTATATTGACTGCAGTGTATTAAAAGAAGTAAATAATATTTACTTGTATGGCGTGTTGACGCTGGATGCTTCTTCATCATATCCTATTAATCGGCGATGTACTGCCTTATTTAAATCATTTAGTTTTTTATTCGTCGTTGCTTTATCTTCAAAGTCTTTTATCTTAATATACGTAAGGCCAGTGATTTTAAAATTTAGGTCACCATTTTTGCCTTTAAGACCACCGTTTTTAGGATCCACATCACCAAGAACGATTGGTATAATAAACTTTTTGAGGTCTTTAGCATGTGACAATTCACTGTAACAGTTATCGGAATTAGCATACGATCTACTTAAGCACGGAACGAACACCTAGCCAGAATTAAAGATCGAAGTTAATCAAAAGCAAAAAGTAAGTAGTGATCTAAAACTGTGCATCAACTTATTGGATCAGCAATTAGTTACAGAATCAGAGCCTATTCAGAGGTAATATTGTCGCTGAAAAATAGCCTACGATGTAGTAGCGAGTACTGGTTGTCGACGTTCTTCATGATTTTACCTTGCATGCCTCAATTCCATTTGAAAGAACTGAATCCAATTTCTGACCACCTGCAACACGATCATCATCTATCCAAACTGTCCACTTTTGCTGTTCCAAGTAACTCTTAATTTTCTTTACTTCGTCTTTATTATTCCACGAATAACTCAAAAAGACGTCCCATTTCTCACCGCAAGCAGAGGATTTGTCAACTCCAACAGAGTCTGTAATATCAGTTTAAATAAACAATGTTAAACAACCGATAAATAAAATCATGTAACATCAATATGGTTTAAATTTTATCTGATTGCTCGAACTAGTGAGCGCTATCAAGATTGAAGTATGCGGTAATAGCGAAATCATTACTGATATTCTATGAGATTTATGACTAACTTGGTTTCATCATTTACAATATTAATATTAAACATTAGACAAACATGGTGTAATCTTGTTATCTGATTAACGAATACTATCTTTATTTGCAGTAATTGATTTTATGATTTCTGCTATCACAATTAGTCCTTAAAAATATATAATTAGTAATAGATTGATAGATAGCAACGGATTTATCGCATACCGTAGTGAAATTGTTTTATTTTTTCCAACAACTAATATTAAACCTACGATTAAGCTTACCTGTTTGGTCTGCATTTATATTGGCAGACGCAGTATTGCTGCTTGAGTTATAAGATACGCTCTTTTTATTACATTTTTCAACCATGTCCGCTAAGATATTATTTCTAGTTGGGATTTCCCTCAAAGCAGTAATGAAAATATTATAGGTTTCAGGAGATTGTGATCGCGTTACTAATTTTAGAATTTCTTGGTTTTTTTTATTAGTAGTATTCATAGCGTCAATAGCTTCAAGATCAGATATCTCTAATATACGCTTCGAAAATAGCTTATTTTTCATATGGTCTACCGGCATGGACTTAACAAGTTCGGACCAACATTCCTTAATAGCATCCTCTTCATGTTTCTCCATTTTTACTTTACTGGTACTCTGGCTTCGTTCTGCAATATTATCAAATCGTTCTGGAGGTTATTGTTCTTATACAACCGTGATTACTTCATCAGTGGAGATTTAGTCATCAGGTTAGTACAACGAATATAGAAAGGAAATGTAACTAATTCATTAATATTCTGTTCAGTATACTGCACATGCGTTACTCTCTTTCATGCAGATTAGATCAGACTTAATTAGTGGTTTTACTACAATAGAGATCTGAAGGAGTTATTTAATTCATATTCTATCATATTCTGATGTCTCTTAAATCAACATTATAGCAATCTAACCATGGAGCAATAAACCGTGATGACGATGTGAGGGCATAATTATTCTTGCTGTACCATACCCTTACGGCATAAAAAAAATTTTATTTCTAGCCGTGAAGTAAGAAGAAACAATTTATAGTTTCCGCGTGATAGTAGCTCAATAGAAAATAATTCACACAAATACTCTACCTAACTCTTACAGTTGTAATAATCAAATTGATTTCTAATATACAGTTATATTCTTGATCTAATTAATGCCAACGTTAGTCCTAGACTGCAAGTAATTATTACTAGGTTGGCTATAATAAACATCAGAGGGAACGGTATTATCCTATTTATACTCTAACATGACTCTATTCTGATATCCTTTATGCAATCCATTCCAACATTGGCTATGGCATCTAGAATAGTAATTACTGCAAAAGCTTGACACTGATAGAGATTAGAAGGGATACAGGCATTTCATGTATGCGTTCATGCCCTTTGCTTAATTCATTCCAGCATTATTCAAGGCCTACAAAATGAAAAATTCCTAATGTGGCTAAGGTAGAGATCAAAGGGAATGAAATGACTGCAGTTGAACTTCAACTCTGCAATAACTTTATCTGTTCTCTCCTTTCCTAGCCATGGACTCAAGAAAACAATTCTTCATGCCGTAATTTGACCAAATGAGGAATTGGAGGGTAATGATCAGCTATGTTGCAATCCAGTGTTGGTCATGGATTCAAAACTATTTCTACATCATAAAGATCAGTAGGAATGGAATCATTAACCAAAGCTATACTCTACTACACTTTCGAACTTCTTCCTTATGTGATCGTAAGACTAGCTATGGACTTCTAAACTGCCAGGATGTAACTGAAGCTGAAATGGTATCCATGCTCATCCATTACCATGGTCACAGTGACTATGTCGCATGAATTTATAGGATTGCAATGAACTATCCTATGTACGAATATTGTATAGAAGACAATTCTAAGATTGGTTTTGGATAGTGCAGTCGACGGTTTGAGTAGTAGAGTAAAGTAGAATTAGTAGAATGGCCGATGAAATGATAGGCCATCGCAATTTTAGGGCACTAAACATGCCGATTGCAACGCTAGAGTAGAGCAACTAGCTGATAGAGATTGAAGACTCTGCTTTCCATTTACGGACAGCCGGTCGGATGTACGACACGCTGCATTGTACAATGTACACGTACTGTACGACACGTTTTATTTTAGGCATACCGACGACGAAAGGAAAGATAGGACACGAAACGCTGATTCAGTATAGTCAAAAGTGCGGGGATGGGCGATTTTAAAAACGCTGATTCAGTATAGTCAAAAGTGCAGGGATGGGCGATTTTACTGGTCATTTCAACTCAATATCTGAAACGATGGATAGACTGTCTGCGATTGCGCATAGGCTACAGTACAATACTGTACAGTGTACAGTCTAGACGGTTGCTGTGGTACTGTAGTGGAATGAGAGGAAAAAGGATACGGCCCCCCCTTATTCTGTATAGAATAGTAGTCTTGCAACAGTCCCTGACCGAAGGTAGGCTAGGGTAGAGCTGAAGTGACCTTAAAGGAGTTTTTCCTTGCAGCTCGAGCAAGACACAGCTGGTAGAAAGGAATCATGGTGCAAGTTACACGCGCATTGTGCAAGAAAAGAGTTAAAGGTCTCATCAAAGAAATGAAATTGAGGCCTTACATTTCCAATACTGGCAGTAATGTTGGCAGTGAGTAACATTAGATATGTATGATCAAACTTCGCTTTATTCATGAGTGATGTAAATCTTGAAGACTTTATATGTTGTATAGTACAGTACTGTTATACCGTTGGGGGATTCCGTTGCTTGTTGCAGAAGCTCGTTCATTAATATTGCTGCTGCATACTGTCTACAATGCAAGGATCAGTTCTATTTCACTGCAATTGATCCGAGTGCAAATTAAAGTATGATAGACTTTGTATCGTCTGCTGACAGTTGTACTTGTCTACACTCGTAATGATGACATTAATTACAAGTGTTGTCTAGGTTCAAGTTTTGCCTATTATACTATCTCAAAGTCGGAATATTCAAAATAAGTTACAGCATAAATTGGATCACCTCGTCGATCCGATAATTTATGTCCTAGACGAGTATACTGTACCATCAGAAACGCCTAAATCATTTTGACAGCCCTTTTATCTCAGCTATTAAAGTACCGACATAGCTCTAGTCAAATTGAGGTATCCTCTGTAACCACCAGAATAAACAGGAAAGCCATCGATGCTTTTGATAAAATAGAAAATCTTTCATTTAAGAATGGACATAAAGTGCTTAAAATTGAAAGCTGCAAATAACTGTACAACGTTGAATTCGCGCTAGTTGCTGTTATTTAATAATACTTGATTGTAAATTCATATTTAATGAAGGGCATTTCGTACATAAATTCTGCTTTAACAATGCTATCTGTATGTTGTAAAGATGCTACGTGCCTTCATGAAATGGCTGCGTTAATGACGTGTTGGAAGGAGAATGAGTTTCAAGATAGTGCTTGTGGAAAGGAAATTACAGCATTCATGGCATGTACGAACCAAGTTGCAGCTGTAAGTTTGTTTCATTGAACTGTAATGTATTTATTCAAGATTAAAAAATTGTTAGTTGTAGTGCGTATGCTTGAAAACCACTCATGTGTATGTATCTCAGGTAAATTGAAACGATTGATCATTGATACTTTTTTAGCAACAAAGTAAGGAGAAAGAGATGACTACTGACGCCAGCTCAAAGAACACTGCAGAGGTCATTAATTCTGTTTTAAGGCGCTACGATAAACGCACTCAAAGAAGGTAGAGGAAATGATGTCACTGTTATTGTTATTCTGCAATGAGAATGTCCTAAATTAAGAATAAGACCTTCTTGCCCTGTATGAAAATTCGAAATAATCTAGCCTTAAAAACGCGATACGCTGTGTAAAGTGTAAAGGCTACACTTTCATCCAGATTTATAAATAAATACTGTATATCATTCAAATACTACTACTGTAGTGAGACAGCTAATGAATTGTATCGACCTTATCTGAATTAATTTAATATTTGCTGTTATGATATTGACTTGGCCAACTTTGCAATGTGTAAATAAATTTTCTAAACTTTTATTTATGAATGGATCAAGTCCTCTGTTGATTTCGAAGTTATAATGCATTCGATACCCTTGCTATTCATGTTGATTACACGTTGTTTTATCAGTCTTGACCATGGTTGCTTATTGAATTGAATGATTACGATCAATGAGAAGTTCTGTTTCTGATATACAATACAATTTAAGGTTACTTGTTTCAAGATCTTTGGAATGGTGGGCTACATGATTGGATGAGTTACTCATGATAGCTCATAACTTATAGATATACAGTATTGTATTTGGCCTGAACTGACGACCTCGCTCAGTCAGATGTTACGGTACGGCTTCAGCATGTACAATATGCAATTGGTGGCTTACACGATTATTCAATAGATAGCTAAAATTCTAGTAGTGCTAATGCATTCTAACAGTAAATCTCAAGTTGTGCAAGAACCTGCACTGTAAAATTTTCACTTATTTACTTGCCTTGAATGAATGCATAAGTTAACTGCAACTTAGCTACGTACGTGAAATATGTGTGTAAAAATGAGTCAAAAGTACGATATATAAGGACTAACCCCAAGTGGAGTACAAAGTAACTCAGAGCCTGGTAGAAAAGCAAATATCCCTTAATTTATAAAAAGTTTAATTTATTTATCAAAATAGTAGATGACTAGATGTGATGTCCAACCGCAAATACTGTACGCCATTTGCGCAAGATTAATATGCTTGTATCAAAGCAGTGTGCAGCACAGGCTAGCTAGAGTGGAGTATGACAGTATCATTGTAGCATACAGTACGCTATTGTTTTGCGTCTTCCTTCTTATCCACTCTGAAAACACTAGCATATAGTTACGCTACTAGTGAATTAATTATCTTAAGTTGGCATGATAAATGGTCAAATTGTGCAAATTTCCAATTTATGCAACAGATGTCGTCGACAGAAGGCTCATGCACTGCCATACCTACGCATGCAGTACTGACCGGTATTACGGTGTGAGTTGTAAAATGATTGGAGTAACCGAACATGTAAGAGCGACTGATAGTTTGTATGAGAAACTTGAAAGAAATAGAATTACTCAATACTGCGATAAAAAGTAATCAACATATCAAGAGCTAATTGCTCAAGGTTATACTGATCTGTCTGCATAGAATTGGAGCCAAATTGAAAGTCCATTTCTTCACCATTGAAAGACATAATTTAAAGCAATACTATAGCTGAGACATCTTTCGACCATTTTAGAGAGCTTGCCACGCCCCTTTAACGAATACTGGTCTTCTACCAGTACGATCACTACAGTACACAGTACAGTCCAGTACAATACTAAGTATCATTATTTACAGTACTGTACTGTACTGTATTGAACAAGAGCCATTGTTCTGTACTGTCCATTGCGCATGATTAATAGTTCACGCGTGATAAGGCCGTTTCTTTTCAGTTCCGATCCAACGTTTTCAAAATGGTGAGTAGCCGATCGTATACGAATCCATCCAATATCCAATTAATCCTGCATTAGTTAGCCTTCATTTGATGTTAACTTCAAGAAAAAAACTTATTGTTTCGTTCGGTTTGAATTTTTTATTATTTAATTCAAGATTGAATAGTGTGATGAACGATAATATTCATTGTATCGATTTTCAACTTACACATCCTAAGTCCTAGTCATGTTGTAGTAATCATGGCTTGAGAGATTGCTTGCTAGTCAACATGAATTGCAATACAGATTGCTTCAAATGATCCTAATTATGTCGAAATAGGCTTTTTTGATGTTGTAGTCATTTTCGATCTTGAAATTGCACTTATGTTATCTTACTATTATCATGATGTAGAGCGAAGGTGCTATCACAATTCGAACCCGCAAGTTTATGACCAACCGCTTGTTGAATCGCAAGCAAATGGTAAGTGTTCTCTGCCTCTGTTATAGTGTAAACGTTAAATTGTGATTGGTACACTACATCATTTTTTGAATACAGAATAGAGTACAACAGTAATAGAAAATATCCATAGTGAGTAACTACTATTAATCGGTGGGTATAAGAGCAGTTTGCAGAGGCGATTCCATTTTAGCTGAGAGAAGATGGCATTGATGGATTCCTGTAAACTCATCCTATAGTTAGTATTCTATTTACCTTGCAGTCATATCAGTAATTTGCAGTTTAGTTACATAACATCTTAATGATATAGTATCCCCTACGAAAGCTTTTTTTGAAGGCTATTTCTGAACTAAGTTAGATTGGATAATGCATTTAGTTCAGGGGCAGTTCAGTATGAAAGTATTGTAATTTGCAACTCTGGTAACTACAATAACGGTCCTAGCCAGTACCAGTGTTGGCGGGGTCGGCCATATTAGGGTGATTATCCTGCACATTTTTGAGTTATGGTTATCCTTTAGTGCTCATACTGATCTACCAGTTTTATTGCTACTCTATAGCAGGATTTTCGATATGTTTTGTATTGGACGATACTATGAAATTAAATTTCGCCTAATAACTATTTAGGTCGTAGATGTCCTCCATCCTGGTAAAGCTACCGTAAAAAAGACTGTCGTTAAGGAAAGATTAGCTCAAATGTACAAATGTGCTGCAGATCATATAATCTGCTTTGGATTCAAGACAATATTTGGTGGTGGTAAAAGCACTGGTTTCGCCGTTATCTACGATAATTTAGATTATCTTAAAAAATTTGAGCCCAAGCATCGTTTGGTTCGGGTAAGTTGTCAGTCAATACTGATTACGTGATCGTAAAAATTAGTTGCTGTTACAATATTATTGATCGAGCTACAAAACTTGAATTAAGATTTAAATTTTTCAATTGATGGAATTGAGTTATCACAAATATAGCGTTGATAGACCTTGAAGTAAATTGAATTATAACATCAAGGATATTAATGTAAAATTTATTCTTATTTGATCAGTTGGGTTTCTTGGAGAGGAAAAGGGCTTCTAGGAAACAACGTAAGGAGAGAAAGAACAGACAAAAGAAAGTACGTGGTACTGCCAAAGCTAAAGTTGGTGCTGGCAAGAAGAAGGTATGTTCAGAACATTAATACTAACTATAACTATTACTGTACCACAGATAGGGTAGAGATTGCAGTATTAGCTTAAATGTCCTCAACGTATACTGTATACAGTATGTGTTAGCTATGGTAACAATATATCCTAAAATTGAATAATGGATAGGCGTACTTAGACTCTATAACTTAATTCATGACTTAGTAGCTATGCACCTTGATACCCAATAGATTACTAGGTAATTTAATCTTGACAATAGCAATCTATTTCAATACTAACTGTTGTTTTTTCTGTTTTTACAGTAATCCGATCCCGCTTGTACAAAATAATTCTCAAATGCTTGTCTGATACAGCCAGTTAAATAAAAAGCTTTTACGACAGATAAAAAAAGGATATATAGAATTAACTTTATTTAAATATAGTCTTGGTTGTGTTCAATACAGTTTTGTTGATACAAAAGCAAAATTTTACTATAAAGATTGAAGTTACAGCATTAAAAGACGTAGCTATGCTAGTATCGAAGAAAATTATACGCGATATGCCCTCAACAACGTTTAGAAAAGCAGCAGTAGCAGCATAGATTTCTTTTGTCATGGCAAAAAAGGAGTTAAGGCCTTTATGATATTGAACGAATATCTTTAAAAGCGATATGTAGCATAGTTATAGTTAACATGAACCAATCGCAGTTGTCACGAATATTAACACTGGTATTTCATGACGCATGGCCGATGTTGATTCACATCTAAACTTAAAATATACCTCACGTAATATTAATCTTATTTTGACTTTAGAGTAGCGGAACATCTCGCTTACGTTCCATCAACTTATCACATTTATAGTCATACGAAATTGGTATTGATATCAGTTAAGTTACGGAAATATACGAGTACATGTGAGAAAGTGCAATGTAACCTGATAAAAAATTTTACAATTGATTGGTTTTAATAACAGCAACACGGTCAAGCATGGCTATCACTACTGTACATTATCAAATAATTGTAGTGTTGGATGAGGATAAAATTTTTCGAGCTAGTAGTTGCTAAAACTAAAATCTACCTGATGTCTACTTTCGTATGTACTCGTTAAATCCGAAAACTTGTATTCATCGTATTAATCATTAAACTTTCTAGTTTCAAGTCAAGTCAACTTGACACAGTTTTCTAACATGATAAATTCAAGGCAGTGGTAATCGATTTAGAATTTATAGAACACATCTTCAACAGATATTGTGACCTATTGGCTGTAAATGGATTGATATCTAGTTTTTAGAAAGTCTTATTATAATGATATTTCCTTCATGCTATCTATACGGATAACGGTGAATATTAGGGAGGACTCAATGAATAAGTCTTTTGGGCGCTTTGTTGAGGGGAACTGATAATTTCTTGCCAATGATCCAAAGCTTGTCCGCGAACAACATCTTTACCACCGATTATTACTTGACCAACATTACGATCAGCTTTGAACGAATGTGAAGAGCGGCATAGAACTTCAATGACAATATTTGCAGTAGATTCAATATGCTCTTTTGATACTTTAAATTGGAACGATTCGTCAAAGGTAGGATCTACAGTTTTCTTAACAATGTTCGTTTTCTTAGTTTTAATTGGCTTCTGATTATATCTTAAGGTAGCTTTAACCAAGAAACCTATAGATACGAGCATTCGTACATATACCATCATTAATTCGATTTGCTAAGCCATATTCACGATAGAAATAAAATTGCCAACTAATAATTATAATTGATGTTTAGAGATTCTTTAAATTTTTCCCTTATCAAAGCATGCATGAAGGAAGGACATTTAGAAAATAAAATCACAATAACGAATAATATAAACTAAGAGCCACTAGTAGAAATCGAAACTAAGAACATTATGCGCATTAATGTGCAATACGTGTACAGCAATTCTACATCGCAGCTGTTGCTTAACAGATAGATGATCAATATCTTGACAAGTGATCATTTCTGATAGTTTAGTGAGCTTGATACGATTTTGGTCATTTTGGAAACTCGTTAGCAACATTTATTGAACACTACAGTAGTTACATGTCTAATGGTTTATTAGTACTATCTTGAACCCTACGAGTAATTTTAGCTTTCAATGATTTCAATCTTACATTGATGAGATAACTTTTCATGAGCTGGTAAGTCCTTAGCACTCAGTATGGTAACAGTCACTCGATCAGGCGGTATAAATTGCAAAGCAAAAGTGATAGCTCCTAATTGGTACGATGTCTATTTTAAGAAATCAAATCCAAATAAATATAATGATTAGAGTTGTTTTGATGCTACAAGAAATGTCGAAAATTTTATTCTGTATTATACAGCAACTGTTAATATTGCAAGCTAAGTTTACACATAAATCAGATGCAGTAATAAGAACTTCCAATAAATAGGTACCTCAAGTCCTTTTTCGATATCTTTCCAGACGGTTTTCTTACTTGATGTATCTAAATCTAATAACGGACAAGTAATATGGCCGATTGGGTATTGGCGCCTTCCTTCGTTATCAAATATAGACAAACGAAGCCTACTACGTTGAAATTCAGTCTGAGAAATCTAAAGTAAAGAATTGTATATGATAAGTGATAGAATCGAAGTCGGAGAAATAAGCGGTATATAATAAATTTTTAGCCCTTTAGCTCAAGATTATGTAGAGTATTCATTAATTTTTTTAATTGATAAAAACTATAAGCATGACTAGCGTAGCTAATTAGCCTAGATTAATGAAGATATCATTTATGGGCACCTGAAAATGAAATGATTCATCGTATCGCGGATTATTGGACTTCTTTTTGACTACAGTTTGATTAGTTTGCCGCTCAAATGGCAATGCACACACTTTAACTAGTGGATTTCTGACACCTCCACCAGGACGATTTTGCAAATTGCGAATTTTGATAGAATCTACTGTTAATCGCTCATCTGAAGGTTGATATTCCCATGAGAACCATATTCTACCGATATTACCTGGAGGAAATTCAATATCTTCATTATCGGCATCATTATTCCTATAATCAGCAAGTAGATATAAAATAGACATATCGTACTTAGTTATGTGGGTTATTGTATCTGATCCTTTCTCTCTAAAATTATTTATGTCCTTCATTTTACAAAAACTTATTATAAAAAGAAGAATATATGCAGTAATAAAAATTCTTCCGACAATTTCCTATAATAATTCATTAAGCTGCATAACATCTAGTTAATTTCAAGCTAGAAACACAATACCTGCGAGCAGTTGCCTACCTCTCAATTATAATTTTATTGTACTGTATACTAATCTCTAAGGCATGTTTATGTAGTTTATCCCTAGGGTGTGTCTGCTATAATTGAAAATGAGCTAATAGCCAATATTATATTAGCATTCAAAATAAAAAAAATTTGCTATTCATGACTTGTAGTATGCTTAACTTGGAGAACGATAAACTTCAAATAATTGAAGACCCCGTGGATTTGTTTCCATAATCATTAGTATTGTACATTATAAGGAATTTGTTCAATATGATTACAACGGAGTATTCTTGTTGAAATTTTATTTTATTAAGGTATTATCGTTAATGTCCACTTGTAGAGTACGCCTATTCAGAGTTTCATGTTAATTAATCGCAACCGTAACTAAAAATATGAACCAAATCAAAACTAATATCAAGTATTGGTGCAATAGGTGAATAATTTTGTAATTATAAGGTAAGGTCGGCATCAAATTGATGAGAAAATTTGTTTACTTTAAATCATCTAACTTCTAAAATGAAGATATCGCTATTGAAAGACAAATGATGAGTAATTTAATTATTGATCATTATATACTGTAGATTTTAATCATACCTCGAAACAAAGTAGCAATTTACGATATTAAAATTATTGGCTAGTCCGAAGATGGTGTCAGAATTACGATGTGTCTAAAATTATCCATTTTAATATTGCTTGCTTAAAAATGGTACTGTCTATTGTTTTTCGTATTATCATTCAGTTGTACAGTGAGTAATTATTAGATGGTTCTAAATATTGTTTTCCTTTAATCGATATTATTCTCATCTATTATCATCGGTATGGCTAAATGTGGTCCTAATTCTATATCAGTAATATTTTGAACATTCTATTAATGTTGCCTCTCATATCAGCCAATAACAAGGGCTAATTTCTAATTTCTAAGGTATAATTTACATTTATGATGCAATTATTTAGTAGTAATATTCAACTTCTATCTACTGCATTGATGTTTATCGAGATATATGTTAATTTTTTGCTCTTTATAGTAAGATATTAGGTATTGAACATGAGTTTTTGTTTTATCCTATACTATATATTGTGATTTCAATCAATATTTCATCTGCATGAATAACAACAACAAAATATTGATGTCTTATATTCAGCCTACCCAACCCTTAGCAAGTGGATGATATATAAAATATTATTTTATTTTAATTGACATGGCAAGAGTGACATCTATGATATTCCGGAAATAAATTGGAAGCTAATTACAACCTTTTCCATAGACATCCAGCGCATTTTTTGAAATTATTGAAAAAAGGAGAAACTGGTTAAGGAGAATGTAAACAACCTTTTATTGTTAATTCACAAGGTTTATTGATAGGAGTTTATTACTAGGGTTGTGGCAATAAAATCTATTTCAATATCTATACTTTTATCTTGAAAGCTATCAACTTTAATAAGTAATCCCGATCATCATGGAAGGAATAAGTCAAGAATTTTGAACAATTTAATTAATCCTTTAAACAATAAGTTGGCCCATACTATAGGAATTGCTACCACTATTACAACTGATTTTTCAGTCTAAAATCGCTCTAATGTATTGATAATATTGTCAAAACTAATGGTAATGTCGCTCCTTACTATGTATTTCGTTTTTTGTAAATACTGTCTTCGTCAACCACAGATAGACAGTATAGAGTATTGTCGACAAGCTAAATAATAATTTCATCTATTGTTATGTTGTTGTTATTGCTATGATACAATTTGCTGATTTGAATGTGAACAAATTAATAAAAAAAATTCGGAGCGCAGCCTTAAGGGATCACATCCAACAAATATTAAACATCAAATAAGAATAATACGCTAATTAAAGTCTACATGGAAAGTGTAGATTTGAAAAGTAGTCAACAAACGTACAGATTTTTTTTTTATTGATTGATTAATGCTAACGTTGAATAATCTCATCTAATTTACTTAACCTTAATTATATTGTCGATCAAAAGATTTTGAAAGATTTCAATATTGAGACTAAATAATTTAAGGTTATGCCTCTACATTCAGCAACTCATTTAGGGAGAAAAGGTTGATATAGAAATTGAAATACAATAGATATTATATCTATTATAATATAATATACTGTCATTTGATTGGTTGTTGTATCATTAATATATTAGATATGGTGTAGTTTGACTATTCATTGATGGCCGATAGATTTGATAAAAATTTTAACGTTCTATCTTAGCTGTAAAGTAAAATAATTGTAATTAGCTCTCCGCTTTAGCTTGATGAAATTGAAAGAAATCGATCCGTCTAGATTTAAAATGATCGATTTTTTACCAAATTCGTGTTCGGTTAAAGAAAGTAAAACGAAAATTACAAGATATTCAGTTTAGACTGTTATATAAAATTTGAAGTATTTTGTCTTATTGTTATCAGAATGGAATTGAGGCTTTAATAATAATGCCGTACAAAAAACTTTAATACAGTTATAAAATGTAAAGCATGGAGATAAACCCATTACCAAGTTGCCCTAATTCTCCGGCCATCGGATAAATGATGACTTTAGTCACTATTTGTAGGGATAGTAGTTACTATTGAGACCTTATTCAAATTTCGATGTAGTTAATACAGTCATAAAAAATAAAGAATATGGCAATAAATCCTTTATTCAGTAACGCAACTCACTAAAAATAAAGGAAACGATGAGTTGGGTAACTTCCTGAAAGGGTAGTCGTTGTTTTTATGTTCAAAGTTTTCAACTTCAAGAATTATTTGCTAAAGCAATCTATAATAGAGTACAGTAATGTAATTCCATGAAGTTTACTTACAATTTGCTTCTATACTATCGTATAACGTAAATTTTCATCACTTATTAGCAGCTACTGTTTAAATATCAGTTGTAGCGATGTGATTATTTTAATATACATGTAGAATTGAGTATAATTTTGGTGACAAATTGATTGATAAATCGATAAATACATATACTAGCTCCAGTGCTTTCATTTTGCTTCTGATGGACCGTATTTAATTTATAAAGTGTATGATAAATTACACTCTATAATTCGATCCAACTATCAATCCAACTATGAAGTTATTGTACAGAAAAATTGAGATTCATTTCTATTTGCATAGCAAAGGATGACGTGAAGATATCGATTTAAGTTGTTTATACCGATTCAACTCATAATCTATATTCTATTTTATCCTAAAGCAAGAAAAATGATAATTCAGCATATTGCCTAAAAGTTTTCTTTAATTTCCATGTTAAATACTAGGAAGGTATATTGTTGATTTTAACAATTTTTATCCTCCAGCCTACAACAGTCAGTATTCTGTTGCTTATATTCTATTTTCCTATCATCAATTCTTGTTTTTTACATAGAAATGTAAGCTATCAACCCATCTGTCATCCATTGTAGTTACATAAAATCACTAGTATTTTCGATCGAAACGTTCTCTATTTCTTCCCTGCTATGTCATTTTTAATCTTTGAACGTTTAAAAACTATCGTAACAAACAAAAACGTTGAATTCAACTCGATATCGCAACTATTAGCTCATCAAACTACTGTTTATGTGTTACGATTTCTATTAAAATTAGAAAGAAACAAAAAAATGTATTGGAAATGTACATACGTATTGTATTAAAAGAATGACTTACTGATATAATTCAGGCATTAGCTTGCCATAATTTTCTTTTTTAGCAGTATTTGGTGATAACGGCATGATAATTTGACCACTATGTACCGACAAACTGGGAGAGTTAGGATAACTCAACTGTTTGTATCCAAATGAGTCATGGCTTGCGCTACTTTCACTACTACCTCTTCGACGTGATCGATCGTAGCCCATAATATTAGCAGGTTGAGGTCGAGAAACTTTGGTTAATGGCGGTGTCGGTAAATTATCCAAAGAACTTGCTATGGATGGTTGCACTGGGCAACTATGAAAATTATTTGGTGAAACAGATTTGACCTCATTTGGCTCAATGCAAGCCGCCACCGGATCGTAAAATTGCTCTTGTTTTTTGTGAAGAAGTCGAAACATGATGCGAATGATTAAATAAAAGACCAAAACCACTACTATGCCTGATAAGACTGCAATAGTCACTGCAATACCAATGGAGACTAAAAAGAGAGAAAAAAAACTGCAGATTTAAGTCAGGGGCAAGAAGTAGACGGAATGATCAATTTAATACAAGCATAACTGCAAGATATACAGTAGATATCTTAATGATAACGATAGTTGTTGAAATATCAGCTGGAACTGAGGCAGAGAATAAAATAATGATGACTTTTCTATTGCAATCTCAAGTATCATTAATTATAAACTCATCAAAGAAAACTAATAGGCCAGTATTTACCTGTAATCCGGCAATAGTATTGCTTTAAAAATCAGTCTAGATATACTCTATTTTTGTACTAGATCTGCGTAGATTACTTATAGACTAATCTAATGCAATGTATTGGGCTTTGATGAATATCCGATTGGTCCACGATGATTAATGAAATAGATGAGGACAACAAAAAAATTGAACTCTAGCAAAGTCTATCCTGTATTACTTCTACGTTCAAATGATCATCAAGATTCAATTGGGTTATAATGAAGAATACACGCCTATATATACGCGTACAGTATATGCGTGCATCTAGGCTAAGTGGATGGAGCGATAGAACAGTTGAATACCAAGACTAAAAAAAAATTGACGGATACGTATCGTCATGTCTACTAGTTATATATATATATATATATATATATATATATAGATTGGATAGTAATATTGTTGTTGAACAAAAGCAGTCATATAGAATTTTTGTGAATGAATAGTGTAGAAGGGTACGAGATTTGAACAGGCTCTCTATCACTATTCTTGTCATGCTTGATAGTTTTCTACAGTCAATCAAATTGTTTCAAGGTTATTGAAGAATAGCTGAGGTGTACTTGGGTATTATTAGAGTACAAGGTGGAAATAAAACTTGACTAATATAATTAAACATTAATACATTGTCAACAATTTCTCTAATCGACTGTCATGATAGATTTGCGTCACATGGGCACAAGGTGGCAATCCCTACGTAAAAATTCCATCTTGATTGTTATCATATTGAACAACAAAAAATCACTTGGCAAGAGTAGAATGAAAAGAATAAAAAAGGCAATCCATTTAAAAATTATCTTCAACACAAGACAAATACAATTAAGGAAGGAGAGAGAAAAAAATAAGTCATCAAATGGGCCCTGTAGATTATTAAAATAAAATAACTAACGTTTTCCTTTCTTCATGTTGTCTTGCTTATATTATATTTTTCTGCTATTTATTATTTTTTTCTTTTTGGATGTGAGATAAATGATGATTCAATGTGCTACTGGTTACGGCTTTAATGATTGTTCAAAATAATTAATCAATCTTGATCAAACTCCTCGCAGTTGCTGCCATTAATAATAACATTAAAATAGCAACCATTAAAATGAACTATCTTGAGTAAGT